TCCCACTTGCTTCCACTAGTGCTTGCACTAGTGGCGCAGCCGTCAAGATCTTGATCTTGACGGTACACTTTGCTTTAATTATTTTCCTTCATGCCACTTCACCGTTTTTTGTCGAGTCCTCCCCATGTCCCCGCCATTTATCCCACGCCAGTCCCCGACAATTATCCTACTAGTGGTCCCGCCGGTGGCCCCGTCGGTACTTGTCCCGTCGGTGGTCCCGCCGGTACTTGTCCCGGATGCCATTTTTTTTTTTAGTCCCATGCGGTTCCCGGTTCCTTTTCTCAAGGTGTCCCGGGTTCTTTTGACATTTTCCCTTGTATTTCTCGGGCCTCGCGAGCACCGGTTTTCTCCGGCCGCGGGGTCTCCAATCCGAGGTTCCCGCTAATTACCATGGGCGGCCCCCACGTTGGCCCCTTATTTTCTAGCGTCCCACGGTCACCGGGGCCGTCCACCTCCCGGCGGCCTTATTCTCTCGTCATCCGCCGCGTCGCATTTTGCAAGTTGACGGCCCCTTGGCCTTAGTCACGCCGAATTCCAGTGGCCCTCCTGGCCTCACGCGATGCCCCTGTGTGCCCATGTCCTCACGCTTACTTGCTTGTCATCGCTAGTTCTTTCCCCCTGCGGTCCTCAACCCAGGGCATCGTTCCTTCCGGCGGCCTAATCCTTTGTCTTTTCTCTCTCTCATCTCCTTACTCCAAATTTCTCTGTCGTGCACAAATTGGCTATATACAGGGTCTCGAGTGACGGGATGTTATTCAGGACCCACCGGTCCCGACAGCGTCATTCCCATTTTTCCCACGGCTTCTCGAACGCGATGTCGGTATGCTCAGGAAACGAGCGTGGCCTCCTCTTCTTCTTCCATTGACTTTGGCCTCCCTTATTGGCCATAACGGCAGTGACGTCACCCTTCCCAGACTCATTGCCGCCGTTACCTCCGTCGAGGGGTAACTTCTCTACGGTATCATCATTAAACACAACAAGCATGTGGTCCTGGCATTTTTGCCGCTAAAGAATCCGCTTACCATACCCACCAATCGGTCCCGACTTTACCACCGAAGCGTACATACCTTTCACTTGAGCGGTTATCTGCTGTCGTTGGAGAGCGAGATCGCAAAACTGTCGATAGTTATACTTTCCAGACTTGGCTTCTGCCACGAGCTGTCCGCGAATGGGCTCAGACAGTGCACGTGAGTATATGTATAGGACCTGGTTGTCCTGCAAGTTCAAACCGGGTACCTGCAAAAGACGGTCAACCTCACGCGACAAAGCATCAACAAAAGTCCAACGTTTCTGGCCGATTGTGGTGAGTTCGTCAAAGGCCTTATTGATCGTTGTCTTGTCAAGAAACCTCTCCTTTATCTTTTGGAGAAATTGCTTGAGGTTCAGGGTCTTAGCCCACTCACCGATATCCTCGAAACTAGCGGCATTGGCTTTAGACAACACCCATTCCTTGGTCACTCCTCCTAGACAAGATGTGGAGAAAGCGACCTAACTCTCAGGCTCAACAAGTGCGTCCTGACATAAGTCTGGATTTCCGCAATCCACAACAACAAATTCTCATCTTTCTTGTTGTTATATGTAAACGGCAATTTCATTTTCACCTTTTCCTTTTTCTTCAGTTTTTCTGCCTCCTTGGCCGGTTCTTCCTTCTTGGTGGGTTCTTCTTTCTTTTTGACCAGTCTCTCAGGTTCTATCTTAGAACCTTCGGGTTTCTCTGGCGTAACTCGCTTCATTGCATCCTTCATTAATTTTTCTTGGGGTTCCTTCTTGACTACCTCCCCCTTGGTCTCCTCTTCAATTCCTACCTTGTCTTTCCCTTTCAGGAGTCTGGTCACTGTCTCCAATGAGGCGGTGTTGCTATCAATTTTCCTTTCGAGATGAACAAGGTGGACCATAATAGACTGAAGAATGAATGCAAACTCGTTGTCTGTTTCTTCGTAGTGGAACTTCTGTCTTAGTTCCTCCATTACTCTTTCTTCTTGTTCTTGCTACTCTTGTTGTCTCCGGAGTTACTCAATATTTCTCCTTTCTTCTCTCAATGTGTTTTCTAACTGACTGGCATTCTCCTCCATTATTTCCACAGACAATTGTGGTTCAACTTTCTTTCCTTTCTCTTTTTTTTTGCTGATGGGCCATTCTGGCAGGACATGGTCTGGTGTGGCACATACTTGTGTTGCGAGTACCTGCTGTTGATGCGCTGGGCTGACGTGGCATGCCAGTGTTGTGTGTGTGCAGACATGCATCGCTGACGTGGCATCCCCTTCGTAGACCTTCCATGTCCTTGACATGCTGACGTGGCAGACTCTTTCGAGCTGCTGTGTTGGCATTCCAGGGCGTGGCATGCATAACATGCTGCTGAGGGTGAAGCGTTGATTGTGCACTTGGATGTCGGTGGACGGTACGACTTCACGATTTGCTGTAGTGTCGAGTGCTGGCCCTTGTATTTGGTTGCATTGCTTCTGCAGATGGTACAGCCGTAGAGAGAGGAAGCTAACCATTGATTGTGCTGTTGTGTTGGCTGACATACTTACCTGTTGGTTGTTCTGTGGTTGCTGTGTATACCCACAAATGTGATGTTGTCTTGATCACACTGGCCATGGCTGCGGTACCTGTTCATTACTGTAGGACATCATCACACAGAAAACAAACAGCAAAGTTAGATTAGGAAATCGATTGAGAACCTGTTTCTTTGCATCTGCCTTGATTAATTCTTGCTGTAGAAGCTGCGTGCATTGTGGAATTTATTTTTGTCTTTTAATTTTATTTATTGTGCGGCAACGACACGCTGGGAAAAATGACTTATCTCTGGAAATGCCTGCGTGCCTCTTTTCTCACACATTCCATAACTCTCTTCTTCTTTCCAATCCCTCTCACTGTCTACGCCGGCGAAGAAGGGGGGGAACTGAAGACCCGTGGTCAAATTGATGCAAAAAGACATACTCTGATTGGTTTTCTTCGCCAGTTGTTCGGTGAGATACACGCTGCCGGTCCAGAAGTTGAACAGCACGTTTACGGACAGTTCAATCTGCGTGATGCAGAAAAGAGCTACAGTGGTCCTGTTCTCTCTGGACCAGCGCCACGTGAGCCGAAGCTCTCGCCGGTATCTTGAAGTCTTCAGTGTAGTCACGTCATCATCTTCAAGG